AGCCTTCTCTTCTCCAGAATAAGCAACACCAATTTTCTTGGTCTCTGTGATCTGGATGCACCTCCATTCTGGTTTTGCCTGGGATAGAATTAATTTTCTTCACAGTAGCTAGTATGAGGCTATGTGTCCTTTGAGCATACCTGGCATTTAAATAAATTAAAAAACAGAAACCTGACAGAAACTAAAAAGTAACAGTCTCAATGACTCTGATAAAAGCTCCTCACCAAGTGTCAAGTCAAGGAGACAAGATGGCACCAAAGGCCAAAGAGAGAAAATTCCTGAAATAAACTAGATGTCTTTGGCAAGGCAGCCAGTAAAGAAGCAAAATTCAAGTCACACAAGGCACAAGGTGAAAGCAGCCATTTGCGCCCTAGAAAATTCATATACCTCTAAGTCATAAAAACTTCATGCTGTATCAGATTTTCATAAAACTTGCTGAGGAAGTTGTCAAGCATCAATGCTTCTTGAATTGGTCCTGGATGAGTCCCAGATGTTTCTGTTCACTCTGACCCTGGTTGCTTGCTATTCCTTGCTTCCTCAGTCATTATGTTCTTCTCCTTTGCAGGATTTTGGATGTGGCTGAAGCATGATTGTTAAAGGAACATCTTCCTGTGACCCTTTCCTTGCATGATTTGTGAAGACTAAACACATGGATTCATGGAAACAGAAGATACATGGATAGATTTGTATGGAATTTGCATGGTACAGCAAATTAACCTCTATGTACCACTGGTTAGGCACCACTGACTTTTAAACCTTTAATAAAGATGCTATTTCTGAAATCACAACTTTCAAAACTACATAAACTCTGTAGATGCCAGGTGCAACTAGTACCAGTTGCTGTGGAATTGAGCTGCTGTAGCTTAATAGAAAGCTTATTTCCTGGAAGAAACTAGGCAAATACCAGACTAGAAGAACTTTCTGTTGTTGACCTGCAGAGGAGCCTACAGGGAAATTTTCATTTTCTTAGCTTCCACTCCTTGGAGTAGTGTGCTGTGGCTTTTCTCAGTTTAATATCTCATATTTGTAAACTATTATTGCTGAATTTGAAACATTAAGAGGTTCCACTCTTAATAAGGCATCTGATGTGCTGCAACTGTAAAGGGGATCATTTTCAGGAAATTAACATTCCCAAATAGCGCAGTCAAATATATTTCCTTGTTGAGAGATGTAGTCAGTATAGCAACTGTGCCACCAAGTACTGGGGACTTGCTGAGGGTCTTGTAGCACCCTCAGCCACGGGGAGTGAGAGTGTCAGGTTCATCATTGAAAAAATAAATGAAACCAGAATGTTAATACTTTTGCTTTTGTGGCAGAAAAGCTGAAAACTGTAAAATAAATACTAGACCCACATTGCATGCAATCTCCTCTTTTTTTTTTTAATTAATAATACAATCTAATATTTCTAAGGAATCATTTAAAGTCAAGTGTGTAACACTGCTGCGGGTAACAGCTTGTCCTCAAAGCTGAAGAAGAGGCACCAGCTTGTCCTCACAGCCGAAGAAAAATGAACTTACCATCTCCTAGACATGCAGGTGCCCATTTTACATATTTAGGCCATTTTTGACCCAGTCAGACTTTCAAGAACTGAGCCTGTGGTTACTAATGAGCCTCCAAATTGATGATGCATCTGTTTGTAAGCCAAAAATTTGCCTGTAAAATCAAACTTTGAACTGAGATTCTTTGAAGAGCTGGAACCATAAAAGTTGCATCTGGAATTGGATATAAAATAGGGAGAAAAGGCGGAAGGTTTCTGTCTCAGATAGGTAACCCTTTAACCAAAGTCAAACATTTACCTGGATGGTTTAAAAGAGAAGTTGTACAGAAAGTAAGCAGTTTAAATTAAATTATTAAAATGGACTTTTATATATGTCATAAATTGGCTACATATGAGGAAAGCTGAATTAACTTATGGTTACTTGTATGTGCCTATTTTGATTAATGAATGAATTTCACAAATTACTCATATTCCATGTTTTGTCAGAAATACCATCTTTTATTACAATAGAACCTGCGGTCACATGCATAAATATCGGTGCAGTAAAAGATATTTTGATTGACTGTTTCCCGACAATTGACACTAAATTCATTTCTCACATCTGTTTACCAGTTTCACTTCATCCAGCTACAAAAGGTGTTTCAAGAAGTAAAACAACATTGCTGTTTAAAGGTGCACATTTTCCTTCCCTCTCTCCCACCCTCTCCATTTTATAGAATCAGGTAGCTTAAAACAGAAAAAAAATTAAAAAGAGTACAACAATTTAAGCTGAATGCATAAAGTACTGTTGGAACAGCTATTCCTGAATAGAAAAAATATTGAAAATACATTAACTAAAAAAAAAGGTGTGTAGGAATAACAAAACCCAATTTTCAGATTTCCAAATGTCTTTCTCTTGAAAGATGAACATGGTCAAATAAGTTATGGTCTTTTTGAAATAACTGAATAATTATCTTTCACTCCATCCATTTTCCTGTCACCAATATGTCTATGCTGTCCAAAGTATTTAGGGTCATGAGGGGTTTTTTTGTATGAAGCTCCAGTACAGAAAATGAAAGACATTCTGTCATTACTGCTGTTGCAGATGATGTCTGGGGGTGAAATTGTTCAACCACTGTTCTCTTTGAGTGTTTTGGGGTGATCTTTCATGTCCAGCACCTCCCTTGCTCATCAACCTGTGGTTTGAGGTGCTGTGATATCCAGAGGGGCATATTTGGAGAGCTAGAATGAAAATTAATTTTAATTCCACTTTGCAGTACCTTTGCCCATTTGCAAGGCAATAGAGACTCACCGTTCATTACTTATTGCAAACAGAAAGGGAAAATGTTTAATTTTGAAATGGACGTGTGATTAAGATGCCTGGTCCCTGGTGACCAGCAAAGAGGACATAGCTCAGAGTGCATCAAAAACCTAAGGAAATCCAAGATGTTAGGGACTGACACAGTATAACTAAACTTTACATTTCCTGAAAGGGTATTGGCACAAACTGAGCTCATTAATTCTAAATTAAAGCTTTTATTCTGGCCTGCCTACAACAACAACAACCTCCTCTAAAAAGGCTCTGTTCAGGCCTTCATGTTGCATTCACACATTTATTGTGTTATAGAAAAAGACTTGACAGATTTTTATCACTTTAGTATAAATAAAAATTAACATATGTAATTATGTAACCTCCTAAGGAGGCCTGATTCTTTGTGATATTCTTCTAATTCTCATGGTGTAGATATGTATGACTTTAGAACTTATATCTTGTATAGTCCTTAGTCTAACAGTTGGCCACACTCTGTCCTCCATCTACCAGAGGTGGAAAATCTGCCCAAGAAGTGACTGCAGTGGAATCTGACATGACAGAAACATTATGGAACAGATAATGAGCCATACTTTAAAGCTGGTTTATACAAGAGTGTGGAACAAAAATATCGCTATATGTCATTTAAGTGTTTTATTTATGCAGGGTTGTTTTAATTACTGTTATACCAGATCTTTAGCCATAGTCTCAAAGTCTTGTGGAATTTCCCATTATACTTAGTGTGTATTGCTAGAAGCCACCAAATAAAGGTGATAGGAAGATAAGCAAAACACATTAGGAACTGCTGGGTTTGTTGCGAGTTGAGCATAAAAGCATTTTTGGATGAAATGGCAATTTCCTCTGCTTCAACTGACACCCACAGATTCATAAGTGAAGTATGGGGCTCAACTCATGAAAAATTAGCCCTTTAGAAGCTATCTGAAATATCTAGTTCCTTGTATTCTCCACAGTGTTGGCTCAGGATGTGAATTGTTATCCTTAACAATGTGCCCATATGACTTGATTTAAATGATGCTTTATATTTGAAATAACTGATGTGGCACTAGCTCTGAATTGCAGCTTTGTTTCTGAGATTATTAAACTAGTGCCATGACATCTGTGCAGCCAGAGTTTCCTTTTGCAGACCATCTGCAGCCAGTCTGATCAGCCCATGCAGTCACACGTTGCTTTATAACCTCGACCAGCTTAACTGAGGTGGAATAATTGAAGCTAATTTTTGCAGCACAGGCAAGACTTTGATAAATTTATAGCACTAAGGCTTTACAGCACCATGTATTTATGCTAGGGGGCACTCATATTTCGTTCTGAGCAGTATCAAAGCTTGGCATTTGTAGAACATGTATCCCAAAAGCACAGTGCCAACAGTAACTTTCAGGGAGTGCTGTGAGGTAGGTGTGTACATAGATCCCTGTTTTACAGAGGAGGAAACTGAGGCAGGAAGCTTAAGGTATTTGATACAGATCACTGTAGGAGTTAAAGAATGTTTAACACAGGTATTAAAGGATGACACAGCATCCAAGACAACTTGAAAATTACTCTCAAAAAAGCCAGCTCATTATACGTATATGTATCCATACATCTATATCTATGCAGATTAATTGTGGATGTGAATTTTTATTTTTAAAACTAGAGACCTTGCTTTCTTATTCCAAAATTCTGTGAGAAAAATGGAAGGCTTTAGAAAGAGCACATAAAGAGCTATGTCTCTGTCCCTGGCTCTCCAGGGAGAGAGACATAGCTCTTGTCTGCAGTGCCTATATAGTAACAGAGCATTTAGTGACAGAGGCACAGTCATAGAATCATTTAGGTTGGAAAAGAACTTTGAGCCCAAACATACACCTTACGTTGCCAAGTAGGATGAATTTTACAGGCACATAAACCTCATAGGTCCCACAGTATAAGGTCAGCTTGAGGAATTTTTTTTTTTCATTTGTGCTATGCAGCAGGTATTCACTAGACTGAGAATTTCACTCCTTCATTTCCAACTAAGTGTTCAGTGGTGTATCGCAGTGACATCTGCAAACTTAAGGCAGCATGTGATTTTGTCTCCTCCCTTCCACGCTGTTGCACCTCTCTAAGAGGAACTCATCGCTGAACTCAGCTCCTGCAACTGAGAGTTCACAGCTTAGGAAGGAAAGTCTGAGTAAGAACAGAAAACGCAAGTGATTCGTCTATGGCAGGATAGAGGCAAAGTTGTCTTGAAGGGGCTTGCAGCCAGATGCCAAGACTTCTTTTCTAGACACACATCTCTGAATGACTCCACCAACATGCATTTTTTTTGTGAGATGCTGAAAATCAACAATTTCATTTCCACAGTATGGCTCAATAAATTCTTCACATCTTCCAGAAGTGTCTCTTAAGCCTGTTTCATTTTGCTTGCTTATTGTGATGATTCATATACATTTTGGAAGAATGTTTTCAGAAAGCAAATACCCTTCTACTCAACACAGATGGATTCCTGAAAAGTTCTGCTGGTATCTTAGAGTGTGGATAGTGAATTTTCCCATGAGAATAAACATAATGAAGGGATGCATGTTAGGACTGATAGAATACACACAGTTTAAACACTCGGGGATATCTGTGACATGAGGAATGAGAGGGAGGGAAAAAATCAATATGGGCTTTCCAGAGGAAATGCTGGCTTTATAGAATAGATAATCCTTTCAAAAACCCTGATCTGCTTCACCCAGGAGACTGTACCCCTGATTTCCTGTTTTGTCACCCCTCACCCTTGACTTGTTCTATTTTGCTTCATCTAAGATAAGGCTATCAACTATGAGAATGCAACTCCTCAGAAAGAGGGAGCCAATTCTTCATCAGTCTTGGAAGATCAGATCTTCTGGAGAACTGAATGATGTGAAATGTTCCTGCATGTTTAGTCCTGTCACTACATCCAGGAGACTGAACTTGCAAGGGGAAGTATTTAATTGTAAGCATTCTTGGTGTCTCTTTTTGAACAGCTCAATTTTCATCTTTGTCATAATCTTCCTTATATGAAACAAGATCATTCAAGTTTGAGGGGTGACAGAGCACAATGATGACCTTTGCCTGGTCAAGGTATTGAGAAAACATCCTGGAAATCAAAGGACAAGTAGGGTGCTGCTGCAGTCCCATCACAAATACGAATTTGCAAAAACCACATGGCAAAGAAATGGGTTTTGATATCACTGGTGCCACTCAAATAAGAAAGCACAGCCATCACCATGAGTCTTACTTGAACAATAGCCATAGGGAGTTTTGAATAGTTGCTATCAATTAACACCTCATAATAAATTTTAGCTGAAAAAAAGAGAGAAAAATTTAAATATATTTTTGAGAAAATTACAATCTGCTTAGGGACAATGTGGGCAGGCTGGTTTCGTTGAATAAAGTATAAATTGTGAATCATAGTTGTTCAGCTCTTGTAATAGTCTGGAAGTCTCTTAGGATTTAAAGCAAGCTGAACAACTGACAATCTTGGAGGAATTCAAGTGTGGTTTTACAATATCTGGTTCAACCGACTGAACTGGATCACTCTCACTAGCAATTATGTGTTTCACCAAGCATCTGGAAGCTTCATTGATGTTTATATTTTCCTGCAAATGAAAGAGAAAGAGAGGTTGATTAGTAAATAATAATAAAAACATGCTGCATATTTCCTGTGCATAATTAAATTTTTCTCTCAGCAACATCAAAAGTTTACTTACCGTAATAAACTGTTTTCAAAAATTTACTGTGTTAAATAGTGCTTATTGGAGTTTTGAAGTTGGTTAAGTTTTATATATATTATGATTCATATATCTTTTAAAATGTATGCAGAGCTGATTTTAAATTACCTTAATCTCTTGGTGATTTGATTGCTTCAACAAACTAAAAAAACAAATGCCAGAGGGGTGTTGAAAATCAATGCCTGAAGTAAAGCTCCAAAGACCATATTTCACTGATTGAATAATAGTTGCTCATTTCCAAATAGTTATTTACCGACCAGTAATTACAGCCATGCATTACACTCATTTTTTGAAGCTTTTCCCACAATTTCAAGAAGATTTCTGTATGTAATGCTCACAATGAAACCTGTGATGGACCCGTTTCACTGAATAAATGATACAATCTCAAATTACTCACGAAACAGTAAAACAGTAAAACAGTTCTGTATGATTTGATGTCCTCCCTTATTTCTTGTTGAGGCTGACTGCAATGCACTTCATCTCCAATGCACTGATTCAGAAGAAATATATCACCACTGGTTTCATTTGTAGGACAGAAATCCTCACTCTAGGGGCTTAAAATGAAAGCTAAAGGATGAATTTTCCTGCATGTGCTGATATCAATTGCACATCTAACTTGCAGCAGTTCTCACCCTGTTTGTAAAATAAATAAAGCTGAAACAGCTTGATCAGTGAGACACAGCTCAACACAACATAGAAAATAAGCAGTAGTACTGAGTCAAGTTTTTTTTTTTTCTTTTTTGTAAATAACAGCCACCAATATGTTTGGAATGAAAATTCAGGCTTCCTGACATAAAAGGCACTCTTCTAGTGTAACTTGGCATTGATTACTTATTTTACAAGGCAGGAGATAGAAACTTCACTGTAGCTTCAATCTTCTAGGAAATTGTATCACACAGCCACGTATATCCACATGGAAATGCATACCAATATATAGGCATACATTTGTGTATGTGCACACACTACTCTGGCTCAGTAAAGATAATGTTCCATTTGCAGCCTAAGATTACCCAGGTTTTCAAGTTGAATCTTTGAGTCATAGACTAGTTTTGACTGGAAGGGACATTTAAATGCCATCTAGTCCCAATTCTCGAGCATGTCCATGACCCTCTGGATGGCAATCTGGAACCTGCTGTACTGAGGCCATAAACTAGTTATAAAAGAGAGAATTTCAGTAGAATATTTCAGTAGAGAAGACATGTTTATAGGAAAACCAAAAGCTAAACGAATAGATTCTTTGTCCTTTATGCTATCTCCCACTTTCCAACTAGCCCTCACATGCTGGACCATGACTTTGTCTAACCCCCTTAAAATCAATGTCAAAACTCCAAACAAATTCCATTGTCCGTCCCTTTGCATCACAGTAAAGGACTGAAATCTGTGGATCTAACTGAAAATGTTAATTAGTGCAAGATTTCACAGGTTTCTTCAATGACAAACATGAACTTAAATATTCTGTCTATAAAGAATATCAGTAAGTTGTAAACCCCCAATACTTTAGAAAAGTACATATTAATGTACATAGTAACTATTAGAAAGTAATATGGGATTGGGAATCGTCTCTCTACTGAGATGTTAAAATTCTGCTGTATCAACATGGCTCTGTCAGACCAGACTAGAAAATTCCTCAAGCAGGCACTGAAAACCCTTTTCAGAGCACAGTGAAATTTTATTAAAAGAACCGCCAGACAATGAAAAATAACTCTCAGCACTGCTTAGAAAACTGAAGCCAAAACAGAATTGTTAAATGCACAAAACCAGAAATGTAAAAACCTTTTGTGTTGTGTTTGTCTTTACTGATGGACTGGTGAGCATTTCAATCATCCATGTGCTGCTTCTGTGTTGAAATGGCAGCATGTGTCTACTCAATAAGGTCTTAGGGACTATCTAAGATTCTGCCCAAACTGATTAATGTTCAGATGTATTAACAGCAGCTGTCTTTGTCAGAGGCTACCATTTTACAGCATTGGGAAAGGGGGAAGGAACCAAGCCCACAATAGCATAAAATGGGTATATGTGGACATCCTTCATCCCTGCTGGTGATAGATGGAAATCCATGTGGCAGACATGAGCCTAAAAATGCAGAAGAAAAAAAATTCTCCAGCCAGTACTCAAACAAGGAAAGAAAAAAAGAGTCTACAGAGGCAGTTTCTCATTTTAAACATTTATATGAACTGTTTAAGCTGTGTGGATGACAATTTCAGCTGGGGTACAAGGGGAGGAAGAGGAAGGGTGACCCTGACAGACAACACAGCTGGTTTTGAGTTTGTGTCTAGCTCCATCCTGCTCCCATGGTTCAGATGACAACTGGCACACAGTATGGATGAGAAGTAATGTTAAGTCACCTGCTGCAAGGAGCCTGTGGTCATGCCAACAAAGCAACTGCTGCTGTCCCAGATCCCTGCCTTGACCACTTCCTTTCTGATGCTACTGCTGCCTTTTGTTACAACTTCAATCCTGTGGCGTCCTAGACCTGCAGATCAGATATTGCTGTATTCTGGTCTGACTAATGAAATATTGATTTCTCCACCTCTCTTCCTATAGTGTGTTTTGCAAGAGAAAAATCTATTCTGCTAGGCAGTGAAAAATCTACAGAAGGTAGAAGGTGATCTGCTATCCAAACGCAGACATCCAGAGGCCTGGTGATTTTAGGGCCCATGAAGTGTTGAGAGGCAATCAAGGGGAAGAAATAGAAAACAGAGAAAGTGAAAATCCATTCAAACACAAAGAAACCAACAATCAGAGTGTAAGACTGGACAGAGAGGAATAATCACAGACACCCTACTAATGGTATTGAGATATGGAAACTGCCTCAATTATACCTGAAAATAAAATTAATTATGTTTCAAAAAAACAAGAAAATATAGGTGAGACAGTGGAGTGAAAAAATATTTTTCAATGGGTCTCTATGTTGAAATGCCATAACTGCACCTGCCATATGACTTTGTCCTACAAAAGAACATCACAGAAATTGTGATGATTGCTGAAGTTCATACTTTTATTTTTTCTCCTTCTCTTCTCTTCTCTTCTCTTCTCTTCTCTTCTCTTCTCTTCTCTTCTCTTCTCTTCTCTTCTCTTCTCTTCTCTTCTCTTCTCTTCTCTTCTCTTCTCTTCCACCTGTAGTGCTTGTTATCCAGCCTCCTCTGAGGCCACTTTTACCATCACATTCTCCAAACACAGGAGACACTCTGTCTCCCTATATTGCTTTTAAGGCTGGTATTACACAGCATTGCATCTGTAATGTGTTTATCTGGACAGCAGCTTTCTGTGATAGGGAAGTGCTGCTATGGTCATTTGTCAAAAGGAGAAAATGCAGAGCCACATGAATCCTGGTCCAGCATGCACTGGCTAGTTGGAAAGTGGGAGTTAGAATAGGATGAAGTCTTCACATGATAAGGTAAGAATGCAACAATTTCCTATTTCAAGAAAAGCTCTTTCCCAAGACAGAGCTTTTACTGCAAGGCCAAAAAGGATCTTACCCACATTAGGGTGTCTTTATCAGTCATGTATTCCTGATTCAGCATGCCAGGCTTCATAAAAGTCTTTACTAAGCACCTTGCCTTGCCCTGTCCCCTGAGGTGCCTAGCCCATTTCTGTGTGGCTCAGTAAGTCCCAGCACCTGATACACTATCCAAGTCAGTGCAAGAGCTGAGCTGTGAATCCATCCCTAAGTGATTTATCCTGCATCAACCTACCAAAATCTGCCAGAGCAAGGACCTGAACCCTGCTTCTGTGAAAATGCCTGCCTGACTACTTGTGTGAGTTTTTCTTCTGGCCTTATCAAAAAGGAATGGAAAGGTGAAAATCAGAACACGCTACTCTTTATTCTATTACCAAACAAAAGGCAAAGAAAATAACTCCGACTGATCTCTGAAATCCAGAAAGGAACACTGGAGGACATAAATGAAATTAGCATTTGCTTTGTAGATCAATCTTATTAAAATACATCCTTTCAAAGGGCACTTTTATGGAAGGGATAGCAACCGAGCACAGGGAAAGAGCTGCATTATTTAAAACACTTGAACTGATTGCTATTGGAAATAATGTCTTGTAAGCAACAATCAACTAAAGGGAAAATAAATGCATTATTGAATGTGACTCAAAGCAGTACACAAGCTCAGCAATCGTTTTTGCATTCTGGATTACCTTCCCCCTTATCTGCCATCTCTGCCGCAGATGCAGAACATTAACATTTAGAGCATTCCTTTTTAATAAATTAAATAAATTCCCACAGATTATACTAGCTCTTAGCTCTTTGTAGAAGAATAAAGGACCTGACAAGTTTTAAGAGCCTGCCTCACTTTCAGATGAAAGGACATTTTGTTTCTTTACCATGCACATATCTTAGATTTGACTATCTGGTTGTTTTCTGATGGAATGCTTTTCCCTTTTGATATGGACAGTTTTTTCCTCTTACTGATTCTGACACTTCTGAGCCTTACCTTGAAACCCTGGGTGAAGAACAGTGTGTATGCAGGCACAGAGTGCTTGGGGAGCTCTAAATCAGCGCTGCCTAGAGACGTGACCTTAGACTACCGCTGCAGTTAAAGGAAATTGACTTCCCATAAGCAAACATTTACAAATTGTGAAATATTCAGGTATTAGATGGGGGCCTAGTGAGAAGCTCATAGCTTCCACATTTTATTTCCACACTGCACTAAAATCCAGGAGCAAGGAAATTACTTGAAAAATGCTTTAACCTGAACTACCCTCGAGCTAGCACTCTGAGGGAATGGCACCACATGCTCCCTTAGCAGAACACACTGGAAACTGCTAGGAACAGAGCCTTATTAAGATGGTGTGTTGTACTCCTGCAGTGGTGTTTCTAAGAAAATGCAGCCAAACAAGTTAAAAGCCATCTGGATGCAGGAACATGAAATTCATAGACGTGAACTGCTGTGACTGCAATTCTGACAACAAGGTCATTTCTGTGCTTGAATTCTTACATCTGGTTGTATATCCTGCCACAAAATTATTTCACTTAATGAGTTTCTGATTTCAACAATTTTGTGTTTCTCTGAATTTCCATATTTGGGACAGCACTAAATAATACATTTCATAAAAGTGATCCAGAGAGCTACAGGACAGCTCTAATACACACAGGACAATCTGAATCAACTCCTTTTAATTACAGGAAACAAACTCTGCAGAGGATTCTGTGCAGAGTAATTGTACATCTGAAATGAAATTTCCTGCCTTAAGTGTCAGCTTTATTTCTTGCTTTATGTCAGAATCTGAAATATTTTCTAAGACTGTACCATGAGATTGGTTAGACCTTTTTTGAGTGAATTAAATAGACAATCTAGGGAGCCACACATCCCTAACTGGGTCTGGAAGTCTCAAATGGATTGCTTGGATTTAAGTTACCAGACCAGCAGATTAGTTTAGAGTGCCAGCTTAATTCAGATACATGTCCAAAGCTTGTTTTTCTTTATGGAAATCAAAACTGCTTATCCACTTCCTCTGCAAATCTACTGCATAACTTGCTTTTTCCATCTTTCTTAATAATTGTCCAGTCAAAAGAACTGAAGAATCTGTGATTTAAACAAGGGCTAGTAGAGCTTGGATTATTCAAAGAATTCCCTGGTAAGATAGGAAGAATTAATGTCTTTGCTTTTTGAAAGAAAGATTGAAACAGAGGAGAGAATGACTTTCTGAAGGTAACACAGCAACGGCAAAGAGGACTTTTGATTGCTAGTCCAGCATTTGGGCCCTGTAAGGGGTTGGAACTAGATGATTTTTAAGGTCTCTTCCAACACAACTCACTCTGAATCCATGGTGACACACCATGGACTCCCTGTCAAACAAAAGCTGAATAAAGGACATATTATCCACATTTCTTAGATGCAGAACTATAACAGTGTCCTGGTCCAAATAGGATGTATCCAAATAGCCCAGAGACTCGGACTGCTCATCAGTCTCCAGGTCACGATGCTCAGGAGACACGGAGCCGTGTGCTTAACCTAGTTTTGTAAGGATCTGAAGAGCACAGCAACCAGCCTTTCTGGGTAATTTGGACAAAACATGAATGTCTTTTCATCTAATTCTATATTGCTAACAGCAGAATTACAGCAGGGAAAAGAGGAACTCGGGCATAATAACAGCACAGCCATGGCCAGTTGTAAGGTATTTCAAGATATTTCTGAATTAGATACATTCAAGCACATTTAGTTTTGCCTGACTTATCTGTTTTGTTGCACAAGTTCCATTTTCATTATAAAGTGATAATAAGCTTAAAATTGCTCCTTTTCTAGTCCAAGTCAAAAGCTCACCTCTTTGAACTAGGCATGGTGGTGAAAACAGTTTAAAGGCTTGGAAATGTGAGCAGAGCTCTCAGCTGCTCTGACCATGTGCTGGATAATTTAATGCGTGACAGGAAGAAGAAATTTCCTTCCTTTAAAAGAATGAATCTTTCACAATAGTTGTGGTCATTAAATTTATTAAAGAATTTACTATTAAGGGTTATTTGGTGACTATCTGGGGATGTGCCTCTTAGACTGCAATCAATATGAGCAAAGCAAATATACAGATATAAAAGACACCAGGCTCACCACCGGATATAGGGCAACAGTGGAACTTGTGACTACACTGTGAGGTGGTGTTGCCCAATAAGGCCCTTCTCACATGAAAACTATCCAAACAAAATATTCTGTCTTTGTTGGGAGAAGACTGAAAGAGGGTAAATTCCTTCAGATTGATGTAAGAATCAAAACTGATACATAAGACTGCATTAGGTGGTTCAAATGTTTTATACTGGAGGTCTTAGCTTGCAAAAATAGCACCAGGAAATAATACAGTGATCTTTTTTTTTTTTTGGTGTAATCTCCCAGTGAACAGACAAAAGCTTAAAACCATTGACAGCTTGAAATATAGTAGATACATATATAGCATGCTATTTCTGCAAGGCAACCAGAACAAAAAGATGTTCTTTTTACAAGTAATCACCTTTGTTTTCCCAAAATGCATAAATCATATTCAGTTTGCTCTCAAGGCCTTAGCATTTCCAAGCACATCTCCAGAAAACCTCTGGAGATCTAATTATTCCAGGGTACCACAAAAAGAGACTTATTACTTATTTGAACTGCTAAAACTGATAGCTGCAATATGATGACTCTGTCCATGCTATTCTGCTTCAAAAGAGTTTCTACTCTCTGCAGCAAACAGAGTTAGTTGTTTGGTTTTTTTTTTTTCTCTTGGACCCAATTTCAATTACTTATGATGCCCTAGGCTAAAAGAATACCAGGTAAGTACAATATCCAGAATTCTAAAATAGCAGTAATATTAACTTTTGTTTAGAAAGAAAGTGTAAAGTTTAGTTTAGACCTTAGATCAAGTGGGGAAATTATTTTGATCTAACTTAGTTTAAATGTTGTGATTCTACCACCTTTACTGGAATGACTCTCTGCATAATTTTAAAGTCAGAAGCCTCCAGTTCTGGATGTAAATCAGGTGTGTGGATTGCAGAACAACAGGTCATATCCTCTGGTGTATAGCAGCAGAGAATAGTCTGGTAACAGCTGTATGCCCTCAACTCTCATCATTCCCTTCAGAGTGGCTTTTGAAAGCAAGTTTTGTCATAGCTGGATTTTTTTTTCTGTTCCTACATGATTGCATTGTTAATCTGGGGACTGCTTGGTTTTTGGAGTTAAATAACATAAGAAAAATCTAGATATTTACCATATATAAAATAAGAGAAATTCTTAATTCTATGCAGCTTGGAGAAACTTGGAAAAATTTCCTCTGTTATGACTTAAAAAAAAATTATGTCCTCTATACATCTTTTATACTTCCATAGTCTGCCCCAGACTGGCTCCATCATCATCATAAAACCTCTCTACGATCTTTGAAATTGTTTGCATATTCATTTTCCGTCATGATCTGCAACAGCCCTTGACACAATAAAGTGGTTGCCCTTTTTGAGTGGTGGACATGTGCTTGCTGGGGACTGATGTATGGAATTCATGGTACAGATTCCATTCTCATAGTGAAATGTAGTTTATCATAAAGTGGACACTGGATTCTCTTGGTCTCACCCAACACAAATCAGCAGATGAACCACAGACCTGAATACAAACCAGGTGCTGCACATGAAGGAATAGAAAATACCCTGTTGTGGAGCAAGACAGTTTACACACTTACCTAGACCAAAATTTCTCCCTATAAATGGCATCTTAAGAAACAGTGGCTGGATTTGAGACCCATTCAGTAGAGAAGCAAATGCATTAATTACAAAGACATAGAATCATAGAATAATAGAATGTTTTGGGTTGGAAGGGACCTCTTCAAGTCTAACCCGCCTGCCAAGGCAGGGACATCCTCAGCTAGATTGGGTTGCTCAGGGCCAAATCCAATACAGCCTTGACTGTTTCCAGGGATGGAAGATCCACCATGTCCGGGTGATTTGTTCCAGTGTTTCACCATCCTTTGTCAGAAAAAAAGATTTTTTTATCTCTAGTGTAAGTCTACTTTCTTTTAGTTTAAAACCACTACCCCTTGTCCTATGACAACAGGCTCCTACGACAGGTTTGTTCCCATCTTTGTTATAAGCCCCATTAAGTACTGAAAAGCTACAATCTCAGCCCAGAGTTCATTAAATGCTTGAGGCAGTCTGGGATATGCTGCTATTCCTCCGCTGTTACTTCTGCTGATTACTAGTGAAATATCTTTTAAATATTAATACTTAAAGAAGGTGTCAAGACCAGAAAAGTAAAACACAAATATACACCCTAAAAGTTCTTAAGTACCTTACATAAAGTGTTTAAAAGGAATTAAACAATCAAATGTAGCATTTTGGCTTCCAGACTACTAGAAATCTAGGTTAAACCAGATTTTAATGTTTACATTTCAGACATCCAAAAGTTCCCCAAGGCTGTCAATGATAACACCAACTTTCCTAATAGAAGGATACAATCAACAAAATAGCCACTGAATTGTTGTGTTCAAATCAATATTTCACATGCCAGCTTCCAAATCCTGCATGAACTGAAATTATCTGAGACATCTCAAATTGATCTACAGTACCAATGTACTTTTGGCCTTTGTAATTTGAAAGCCTCGGTGCCCTATGTGATTTTTATCTCAATATCCCATACACTCAGGAAATCTGTACCAAGGCAAAGAATTTAACCTCAGAGCAGCTCATTCAGCACTTTGACCATTGATATTTCCGTCCATCCCAGTTATGCAATTTTTTTGAAAAGGCTTTTGAGAATGAGAGCTTATAACAGTGAACATTGTACAAGCACTACAATAGACTGACTTTATTTGTGGACTCTAAGGCAATGAAGCTATTGTCTCAAATCAGCATTTTCCAGGCAAAGTGGTTATAATAAACATTTAGAGATAACAGTCAATGTTAAGAATGATGAAAAACATCTTAATATCATTCACAAGAGGTAGCTTTTATGCCTTGCCTAAGGTCATCCTCCTCCCCAGGCTGTTGAGCGGTAACCTGGAATATCTGGGTACATACTTTACTGCTGGCCTATCATATCACGCAGCTGCATTTCAGAATGTTGCAATAAAAGACCTAAAAGAAATAGAATTGCATACTATATATATACAAATCTATCTTTAATTAATACTACCCAGAGAGGAGCTTTTCAAGGTGTACATTTAGACCAAATGAACTATTTTAGGAACTGGTTTCTCTGTCCTTAGAAACATTTGAAAAGAAATGGAAATATTACCTTGGCTGATGTTTCAAACCAGCCCACGAACCCGTTCTCTTTGCAGAACTGATCCATCTTGATGCCGTTGTTCATAAGAACATCTATTCCCTGGTCACATTTGTTTGCTAATAGGACTGCTGGCACAGGTTTGCCATTTGGAAGAACCAACTTAGAGTCCAAATCCTCTTTCCATTTTGTCACTGCTTCAAACGTCGCAGGTCTTGTAACATCAAAGACAATAAATGCCCCCATAGCCTCTCTGTAATACACCCTGGTCATGTTTCCAAATCTTTCCTGTCCTGTAATGAAGAAATTAGGAGGGAAAAAACCCATTAGCTTGTAAAAATCAGTGTTTCCGGTCTAGATCAGTACTTCACACAGCAGGTTTTCTAAGATAACATTACTGAAGGCAGGACTTAATTTTAAAAGTCCCTGGGAAACTACTCCTTGCCTAAATAGTTACAAGTACCATGCTAGAATAATTTGTATGAAAATGCAGGAGAGTGTTGCATGAAAAAGGAATTTTCAAGCCAACACCCAAGGAAATTCAATGAAGCTCATTATAAGTGAATAATAAGTGTGATAAGTGAATAATAAGTGTATGGTCTTATTAGGCTACCAGATTTCTCAGTCTGTGAACAGTGCCAAGAGTGTTTGGGTACATCATAGGACTTTCAACAACAGTCACAAAAAAATATAGGTACCCGATTGGAAACTCCTTGGCACCATGGTATTTTATTTAAAACATCTAACATAACTGAACTGCTCAAGCATGAAGAGGATCCTGCATATTCTCATGCAAATGATAATAACCAGCAGTACCATAATATAGCTCTAGAGCCATACCAGACATCAGTATAATTACAAGTTTACTTTTATTGGCAAACTGAGAAGTGGGGAAGGTGAATTTAAAGTTTTACAAACATGGAAATTGCTCTAAGAAATATCAGAGCAGTAGTAATATGAAGAGCTGCATTGCTCCACTGAAAAGATCTGCAAGGAGAGTTTCATATCAGTTTTGTTCAGAAGCTTCATGGTTTTATTTGCTGAATTCAAAGTCCTTTCTGGGAAAGGACAGAATTTTTTGTGAGTTAACAGTACATTAGTACATTCAAACATGGACATTTGTAAATATCTTTCATTTTATCTGATTAAAAGTATGAACAAATTAACACATGACACCAGGATGTGGTATGTTGATCAGCTGTGGATTTGTTAATATATCTGCTGTTTTCATGGGAACTCTGGAAAAATACATTACACAGGACTTTTCTTGAAAATAAAAAATAGATTTTCTACTAATGTCTGCAGCAGAGCTGTGATCCAAGCAAGAATTATAAGCTCCTGAAGCATTTCACAACAATAGGAGTTTTTAAGCAAGACAACTCCTGTACATGCTTCCATAGCTGGGAAAAAGTGCTATGGAAATAGAAGGATTGAATGCAGACCTCTTTCTAGCCTTATTTTCTCAACATTAGTAATTTTGAGTAGGTTAGGAAGACAAGAAGATTAGCAGTCTGCCTCTGACCCCAGGAAGGTTATCTATGGAGAATTTGTCTGGTGGAAATTTTGCTGTCAAATGTAAGGGAGGGCTGAGAAGGGAAAAGTACCAATTGCTTGGCTTCTAGACCATGCACTTTTCATTTAATGGAAATAGCACTGAACCCACTTAGGGGGTCAACACCATCAGTTTGTGATGTTTGTCTTTGGTTTAAGCACTGTGGCAGCAAGGAGACAGTCATTCACATGATACAGAAACCAAAGAAGAAGCCTGTCTTCTCTAAATTCATGTCAATTTTTTTATGTTAAAGAAACACAGTGTCCTATTGATGAAACAAGAGAGGAATAGGTTATTTCTGGGAAAGAAGAGGTCATATTCAAAATTTCTTTCGTCTATATTTTTATTCAAATGTCTTATGATTTCTATCAGTGAGCTAATCAGATGAATGGCTAAGTCATGTGCTATTCAATAATCTCCTTGTTGGGAAATTCTTTTTTCATCTGCAAGAAGGTGCCTTCCACCAAAAGCCAAGGTCTGATTAGAAACATGAGGTAAGCAACAACATATACAAATAGTTTTGATGGATATTGTATTTCACTGATACTTTACACTTCTCATACAAAGTTCTTGAGATGCTTACACTATAGGTGATATGAAAGCAGCTCAACTCAGGCCTCACACATATTTATTAGGACACAGATCACTGAAATAGGTGGTCACAGAACATTAACTAAATTATTCATTTGCAGCATGAAATCATTCACCATGAAGGAAGTTACTAAAAGAATAAAACCCTCCTAAGTTGTGATCTTCTGCTTAGTAGTGGCTCACAAATTTCTGACAAATTGTATGACACTGGTTCTTCCTCTGTCTTCCAGCTGCTTTTTCAGATACACAGGATTTTCACTGCACAGAAAAGCCAGTGTATTTGAAAAAGCAACATTTTGCAGGAAGATGGAGATAACTAATTTCCATCACCAACCACTTCAAAGAAAGACAAAGAATGGAGCTGCATGATTAACTGTCTAAACTGGTTTGGAAATGGTCTTTTTCTCCATAAGTTATAATTAATGTATCAATATACAGAAAGGCATTTGGCCAGTTTGAATGGAAAAAGAGGTGCTTTATAAATCAAAGTTTTAGTTCTATTACCTTTGCATAATGACTTTCATTTAATTTAAATTGTGGAAAAAGTGATCTCAAGTATTTACATTGAGCTTGGAGAACTAATTAATATGTCTAAAGATGCAGAAGTACTCTTTTTTCCGCAGATTCTCATTTATGTGAACAAAATCCTATATTAATAGATGAGGTTCCTAAAACCTTTAAGTTTAGCAGAATTGCTCATAATAATAGGCACTGCTTGATGTATTAAAGATGTCAGAATCAGGCCTTAGGTTTTCAGCAACACAATGTGTTAAGCAGGAAATGGGCTAGAAAATAGATCCACAATTCAGTGCTATCTCCCAGGCAGCCTTGAACATTAGAATCTGCTTTACTGCAAGTGTGACTGGAGAATATTGGTTTTGCTTTTCACTGGAAGGGTCAGAACCTTGGGAAATATTTGATCTGGCCCATGGTACTTTACTGCATCACTCACAAGACCACTGGCATTTGGCATCAAACCCCACAATTCCAAGGGTCTTTGCCCACTGAGATGGTGTTTTATGTTGGGGATTATCAGCCCTAAATTAGATTAAAAAATTAAATGGGATACTGAAGGTTAGGATCCCTTTGTAGTTGGAGACTGAGCAGAAATGTCTAATTGTTAATTCAGATGAATCCTACTCTACTTCGAAGTGAACCCAGTGAGACCAAGGTGATAAAACAGCAAGATTTCTACTAAAGGGAAGCATTCCCTGTCTGAAGGGCAGCTGCCTGCACATTTATCCTAATCTCAGTGGCATCTCTGCAGCAGGCCAAGCTATCAGTTCATGGGTTTAAAGCAACCATCAGCTGAACTTTCATAACTTATAAAAATTTGCCCCAAATAAATTTGTACAGTAATCTAAAATTTTCACTAACCACTATCATCTCTAAAAAAAGTATAAAAAGTAATGATAAAGGGATGAAACTCAGATAATTTCCATAATCTTGACTACAGCATCTGAAATGTGGCACAAAATTTTAAATTAAAAATTTATTGTAACTGCCCAATGCTGAGTTTTATGATGCATTCTACTTCTTGCCACTGTCCTAAGCGACAATGCTTTTGGGAACCGCCTTGCTTTACAGACTGGCTTTAGCCAACACTGAAAAGCTGGAAACTGTGGAGAAGATTTAAACATCTTTTACCTTTCACTTCAAAATATCTTTCAGAATATTCACAATTGAATTCAAATAATTGTCTTTATGGACTGAAATTTAAGCAGCCCTTGAGCTGATGTTCACCACCCCAGAATGAGGAAAAGCAGGCTGCCAGCAGGATCTGGCCCACAGACTCCAGCACCAATCTCTACTGAAATAAAACCCTCACAGCAAGAGACTTATTTATGTTTGCAGAACAGTAATTTCAAGGTAACTTAGCCTAGAAATCACCATGACTATCTTATTTATTCATATGTGCTGCAATGCTTAGCAGCTGCCGAAAGCCTAAAACGCTGAGGACGTGCTGTGCCTGGCATTAGTGAACAGGTTTGCACTTACTCCCTCTGCAGCATAACAATCCTAAAAACTTTACAACTGCAGAGATACTCATCTATATCTGCGGGAATTCTGCTGCTTCTGAAGGTGAAAGTGACTGGGAAAGGAAATGGAACTGTTCTTTCCCCAAAGCATTGGTCCAACTGTTTATGAGATGAGAACCAGACTTTTAAACACAAAGCAATATCTTTTTGGTAGCAATGAATAACCCAGCCCACTCAAATGCAGAAGGAGTGATAAAGAGGATACTGAGATGGCTGTGGAAAAGGAGCAGGGAGCAGGTTTTGATGCACTGCTCTCTGCTCTCTGATGTTCAAAGCTTCTCCCTGCAGTAAATCTACAGCTAAACCTGGTCTTCAGGGAAATCCCTGGGCTGTTTGGTCACAAAACACAGACAGTAGCACAGAGAACAGCCTTGCAGAGAAGGGAGTAGCAAACACACCCAGATCTACAGCTGTTTCCTTCAGAAGCGATGCGCCAGCCTGCATCTGCAGGGCCAATCCCATCCACAGTAACCTTCTGCAAAATATGACTCAGACTTTCTTTAAAGCTTTCCTTCTAAGAATTGGTTAATGAATTTAAAGGATATGCACACAAAGACAGCAGGAAAGATAAAGAAATAAAGACAGAAATTGATTGACGAGCAAGATTTAATGTTGTATGACACAGCAGTGGAGGTGATGGCACACTTTTAACAGGAACATCAAAACTAATAATTTGTGAAACAAAATGGAATTGTTGTGAAGAAATTAAAGAAAAGGAGAATTTTATCATGTGTATCTCCTCCCACACTCAATACTAAACATTCAGTCACCTCCAACTTAGGCACTTCACTGAGTCAGACATAAGTTCATAGATTTTAATGACAGCATGTTGTTACAAACACCATAACATCATATAGCAATAAGGTTAATCCTACTATTCCTGCCTAACACCCACACCCAGTTTCAGGAAAACAGTATGTGTTAAAACCACTGTCTTAAAGTAACAACAACAATGCAGAGCCTACATTATCCCTGAATTAATTTTTGTGATACTTAGTTATCCTTGTTTTTTGGCATTTGTCTCTCATCTAAATAAATGCATTTTCAGCATTTAGCTGTTAGATCTTATTATAGTTTTGTTTACAAAATTAAAAAACACAGAAAAATACCTTACACAAATATTAACTACATTTAATTAGATGGCACCAGATGAACCAAATTTACTTTTTCTTCTTATGTACGGTAGGGGTAAACCAGGCCAAACTGCTTGGTCCTACCAGAGCTGGAATGTGTCACTCCTCAAATGAAGTCACTATGTACATAAACCTTACTAATAATGTAGATAATCTTGACACTAATTTTACTCACAATATTTTAAAGAAAATTATTTCTAGATTGTTAAACTATTTACTACCCAAGAAAAGCAAGGAAGAGTACACATATGCTTGGTACTGGGTTCACTGCCTGTATAATGTAGAGGGGTGAGGATATAAGATCTAAAATAATACCTGATATGCATATATGCATACATATACAAATATATATTCATATATTATTACTGATATGAAATATTATCAAGGTATTTGTACAATTTTCTTCAGTTCAAGGTGTCCTGCATGCTAAGCCAACATCTTTCAGCTTGGTCAGGGACTGAAAGTTTATTTCCTTACCCAAAAGATAAGCCTGACTTGATAACAGAGAGTTCATAAAAAGAGAAAGGATGTTCTTAGACCAGAGATTTTATTTTCCTCCCTCTTCTCATTGCCCATTTGCATTTTGCAAATGATTTTACATGACCAGCCACAGCCAGGAGAAACTAATTCCATTCTCTCCATATTTCCAATCAGTTTTACTTCTCTTTCGTTTTTGAACCTTTTTTTCTCTCACCAGCCAGATGCCTCATGCGTGATAACTTTTATGCCTGCGCCATGATCATCTAAATTCAGCGAATTCCTTACAGAACTTGCTCTCTATGTACAGCCAGCAACAGCTAAAGCTCCTTAAGCAGAAGTCATTAAAACTAAGACAGCAACTCTTTTTTATTACTGACCACCGTCTTGACCTTCACAATGATGCTTTGAATTGGCAATTCATACGAAATTTAGTGCTGTGCTGTAATTCTCTCTGTCATGTGTGATAACTCAGAAAGCATGCTAGTCATTCAGTACTACAACTAGGTGTAATTGCTTTTGCAGCCTGACTGAAAGCTACATCATATGATCCACCAGCACATGATTAGTAGTGTAATAAATCTCTGAAACAAGGCATGCAAAATACATTCTTTAAGTACCTGATACATTCAGAATTTACTATTAAATGCTTTTTTTCTCATGCAGAAACATTTTTCTGGCAGTGTATGTATTTGTTGGTGCAATCAGCCACTGGTGAACAGTAAAATAAATGTTTGCCATATTACTCCATCTTTTAATAAAGAAAACTGAGCACATAGTTATTTAAAACCATAAAACCACAAGACTCCATTAGTGTGTGAAAAAGTGAAGTTTATACGTTTTACATAAAGCAGTGTTGTTGCGTAAGTTTTAGTACCTCAGTGACAAATTCAGAGCTCAGACATGAGACAGCTCAGTGCAGCAGAAAAGCACTCCCTCCACCGATAAGAATGTCAAGAATTTTTTCATTTCACCAGTTTTACCCGGTGCTGTTCCAGACTAGATCAATGGGCCTGAGTGGGCTCACAATTCAGATCAGAGGCTGGTACAGTTGCCTAACAGTTGATATGATGTTCACCTTTATTCCCTATTTAATGAAAGTAACTTCTTAATTTAATTGAGTTTTTAAATGCCTTCCTTTATGCTGTAATCTATTGTTTCAGTTGTATTTGATTCCTGCATTCACGAAATTAAAGATTATTACTTATAGCAGGGGATATACGCCACCATGATAAACTTATTTTGTGGACTGAAACAAAAATGATTGATTTTCAGAAAGGGGGTGGCAAAAAAAAAGTTGCCTGCTTAATTTGAAGCCAAGTCAAAAATGTCTGAAGCAATGACAGCAACAATGTCAAATTCTGTGGGTTTTAATGATGTAACGATGTGGGGATATCTGGACTTCTTTACTCTTTATCCCCTTGCAGAGGGTAAATTGTCTTTTGTTTTGCTTGATGTTGGAATAAGGGTATTTAAATATGAGTATTTATATTTTTAACAACCAGAATCATTGCCAAATAAAAACATTTCTCTTCTTCTTTCCAAAACACATACTAAGTTGCTTTCATTGGACTGAAGGAGGGCAGGTATGAGAGAGAGGAAGAAGGAAGGTATTTTGATAAACTAACTCATATACATTTTCTTTACTTTTTAAACTATACAAGTAATTTTAATCATCTTACTGAATGCCTCATCTATTCCACCAAATGAAAAAGACTTAACAGGACATTCTTGTTATTCTTCCTCCTGTCATAGAGGTCTGTTAGTTCAAGGAGGCAAAACTGAACATTGTCAGCTGCAGGGAAAACAACTGGGGCATTTGGAGAGAGGTGCCTGAGTCCCTTAGTATGTCCAAGGGCTTGGGAGAAAAATCAGCTAGCACAGGCTCCACTCTGACTCTCTGGCTTCCCTAGTTTGGGAGTCTGCTGGTTTTAGGGAATCTCCAAAATGTCAAGCTGCCCTTAAAGTTTTCTCTCCTCAATCTGCTCTCCCCCACTGCCCAGGCAGTGGTGGTTCCCAGCTTACAGATCAGTACCAATTAATCAGGGTCTGTATTTTGTATTGTTTTTTGACAGATTATGGGGCAAAGGGTTCTCCTCTGTACTCACCCGCAATATCCCAGAGCTGCAGCCGTACCACAGTCTCAGCATCCCAGTTCAGCACCTTCAAAGCAAAGTCCACGCCGATGGTGGCCCGGTAGTGGAGGGAGAAGTTCTGGTGGACATAACGCTTGATGATGCTGGTTTTGCCCACTCCCAGGTCCCCGATCACCAGCAGCTTGTAGAGGTGCTCCTTCTGGTTGTGCTTCTGCATCTTTCCTGTGGCTGCGGCTGCTCCCTGCAAACTGATTGCATGCTCTGCCCGAGGAATCCTGCCAGCCTGAGGGGAAGAGAGGGGGTGAGGGACTGGGAGGGAAGGAAGAAGAGCAGAGTAGGTGGAGGCTCTCTCCCTTCCTACGGAAGCAGGATCACCAGGTCTAGCAGGCAGCCCTGCTGGGAGACGAAGTAAGGACGAACTGGGGGAAGGAAATCTCCCAGAAAGTTTTGTGCGTATGTGTGTAAAGGTCAGCACGAGCTGTGTCTGGGATTAGTCTGGCTGCTAAAGGCTTTGCAGGAAAATTCATGCAACAGTTTTTACTCTGGCTCCTTGCTGAAAGGACAGTGTTTCTGTTGTGCACTAGTTTTACACACAGTAAATTTTGAATCCCTGCCTTAGTGACAATAAATCACCCTATGCTTGTTTCCAGATGTCTTTAAGATGCCAGTCACTGCAAAAAATCCCCTGAAAACTCCCTTCAGAGGTTTCTTCAGAGGTTCCATTTTTGCACTAAAGTGGAAAAATTAAACCAGTGTGACTTCAGCTTTGGATGACATTTGGTTCTAATCTGTGTAAGCAGTTACATCACTAGAAGTGGCAGTTATAGCAATATACAGCAGCTCTACTTGTGTCCATACTAGGAGGGCTGTGCAAATTTAATTGCAGCAGATACATATTTTTAAATTTTGTTACTATAATTGTGATTGTTTCTCTATACCTATAAGCATGCTTCCATCTGAATGCAGTGTGCAGCCTGTGCTTTGTTTTTTCATACAACTGGACTCTAAAATGCAAAAAATGCAGGTTTATCTCAAGACTCCGATAATCAGAAGTTATGAAAGCGTAACAGTATTCGAGCATATGAATGCCAGTGTCTCAGCAGTCATTTGTTTTCCAAAACAAGTGATACCAAACTTGCAAACAACTGAACCCATTTGAGTAAATCATTCCACTGACATGACTGTCCCTTTATTTTGAATGAAGAGCACAGTGAATTTTACCTAGGCAGCTTAGTTGGAAACCTCTGCCCATTACCCACAGGTGTTTGATTCTTTTAACAGCTTTGATAGCAAACCTGCAGAATTTTAACATTGTGTGCAGCTTATCAGTGAATAATTTTTATATTTATTAATGTTCTTGGAAATGAAAACATATTTTTTAGTTATTGTAATATTATTTGATGGAGTTCTTATTCAAGTGTGGACTGAAATGGCATTAGAATTTTGTCATCTATCCAAAAAGCTGGATTTTAGTAGACAAAGAATCCAAAACATTCATATTATGCAATCTTTCATAATCGGTCTTTAAACTCAAATTTTAAGTTTGTGTTTGTGTGTGTATATGTACATAAACACACAAAGTGGAAATAGGTAACTTGAGAGGAAAAATGTCTTCTTTTCCTTGAACCTTTTTTTTAATAAGAGGATTTTTTTTTCAATTAGATATATTGTCTTTCCAAAAACAAGCTGTCATTTGTATCCTGTTTGGAGAGAAATTTTAAAGAGCTTTGCCTTGTTAGGTATGGACAACAACTTGGCAGGCAAACCAGTTTGATCAGTAAGCAAATTTGCATGATCCAAGCTTATTATTGCTATTACTGGTAGCGTGTGTGCTATGTCAATTCTTGCCTTTGTGGCACCTCTGTTTCCTGAGAGGATCCAATACTGAGTACTTCTAAGCATTCACCATCACCCTCTAAAGTTGAAGATTTTCCCTTTTAGAGCTTAAACAAAGAACAGGCTGAGAGGATTTAGCAATTTCAGAAATAAAGAAATTAGCGTTTTGGATAAGGTTTAAATTATCTGTGGTGTTTCATCCTTCTTTGATGATGGCCATTGCTCAAGAGAGCAGCGTGTGGAAGGTCTCTGAAAGCAGGTGTTTGGTAACTGGAGGTCTTAGGCTTTTAGTAAGTGTAGTTAGAGGCTGGCCTGTACCCAGAAGCATAAGGCTTTATCTCTCTTCTAAAGTTTTTGTTAGAATTAGATATAATAGCTCTGGATAATCATGTTACTTGTTTAAATCTCCAATTCTTCTCTGAATGTGGCTAAATTCTTGGCTCCAGAAGCACCCTGGTACAATGAGCCCCTCACAGGCTCAATCAAGGTCACCCTGGGCTGGGAGTAGGGCTACCAGTGAGAGGTTCATGAGGTGTTCAGATGTGGGGTAAGCATGGAGGAGGGATCATTGCAGTTAGAGGGATGATTTGTTGAGCTAAAGGCAAGTATGGACTGAAGCATCTTGTTGAGTGAAAGCTGTACCCAGATCTCCTAACTTCACAGTGAGCTGGCTTTTACAGACACCATCTGCTAAAATGCTCCTGAAATGTCCTGCCTTGCTCCACCTTTTTGGAGCTATGTATCTGTACTGGTTAGGCCTCCTTGCCATGCAGAGGCACTGGAGCAGGGAGATGTGGACCTATCATTAATTTGCAGCCCTGCTGCAGCACTGTCATGGGAGAAGGCAGATAATTTGGGCTGGTTATGACTTAGAGGATCCTTGAAAGATTTCTTTGATGATGCTAGCTGATCCCTTCATGCACACAAAGAGGTTACTGCAACTCAGCGATCTCCTGCAGGCAGAGGTGGCCAAGGAAGTGCATTGAGCCTGGAGATCATGCAATGAAATCTGTCTTAGCTGAGACCACACTTGAGGACAGGTAATATAAACCATACCAGCTTGCATTTGCCACCCACAGGTAGGTGGTTAGCAGGGCTCAGCTGACACCAAGTAACTTGTTAGGCTGGGTGAACCAGATGTTGCCCCTGAGCCCTTACTCTGCTGCTGTCCAGGCAATAAGAACATGAAAGCATGCCAGCAATTTGTCTATATTTCTGTGTTTATATTTCATTTGTCTGTGTTTTCTCTCGTATATGTACATTTTAAACTTTATAAAATCATTGTAAAAAAATAACTGAAATTCCATGTGCCATTATTCATATCTATGCTGTTCTATTTTTGTATTTTCTGCCTATCCATTATTCTAATACTATACTAATATTAATTAGTCTATTAGAATCTATTAAAATTCTATTTTAATTGGCAGAGTTGATGATAAATCTATACATCTCTGTTGTAAATAATAACATTTTTGAAAATTCCATCAAATTAAGGCATTACAGGCTGTGTTGTACTCTACATAAAAGTGAAACTCATTTTACAGTATTAATTTTCAGAAATTCTTCACTATTTCTCTGTCACTAGTAGAGACCTTTTTCTCCGAGAGAAGAGATAAAATTGAAGATATTGAAGATGCAATTACATTGACAAGGATCAAGGAAAGCATAACTGCATCCTGGATTCTACCACTCCTCTTTGTGTGGCATACACCAAAGATTTCAACCTTGAGTACCAGACTTGTTACCAAGACACTTTTTAAAAACAAGTGCTGTCTGAGATAATGAAACTACAAAGCAATAGTTTTTGTAAAAAAAAGACATTCACAGAATCATGGGAGATGCTGAGTTGAAAGGGACCCACAATGATAATCGAGTCCAACTCCTGGCCCTGCACAGGACACCCCTAAAAGTCACACCATGTGCCTGAGAGCATTGTTGAAATTGTCACTTCTTGAACTCAGGCTGGTTCTGTGACCACTTCCCTGGCGTGCCTGTTCCAGTGCCCAAGCATCCCCTGGGGGAAGAACCTTTTCCTAATATTTAGCCTCAGCCTCCACTAACACAGCCTCAGGCCATTCCCTTGGGTCCTGTCACTGGTTACAAGAGAGAAGAGATCAGTGCCTGCTCCCCCTCTTTCCCTCACAAGGAAGTTGCTGACTGCATTGAGGTTTCCCCTGTCTCTTCTCCAGGCTAACAGACCAAGTGACCTCAGCTTCCCCTCAAGGCCCTTCACCATCTTTGTTGCCCTCCTTTGGACAGTCTCTAAAAGTTTTATATATTTTCTTACATTTTTGTGACCAAAATTCAGATTATTAGAAATGCATTGAAAAGATCTCCATCTAAAATGATGTAGGGTTTTCACACCACAGCTATTAATGTTATATCTGGTAGCTCTGAATGTCTTGAAGGGAGTGACCTACACCATCATATTGATCTTGCCTAATATGACATGTTGTATAAATATGACATATGACATATATCATATGTATAAATGACAGCATAATTCAAAGACATGCTAATACAAATCTCTCTGTGTGTATGCACATATATATACACATATACATACAAATCAATATCATAGACTATAAGATAATTTTATATCTTACCAATAAAATAATTCAAAACATTGACATTATGCACAGAGTTTTTTGCCAGTTTGTATTCCAATTAATTCTGGGGTATGGAATGAATATAGAGTTGTTAGCTACACAGTTAAAAGCCCAGTGGTGCATGAATCATTGTGCTAAAAGAGTGAGAGTTGTGGCTCTCTCACGATTGCAACGCTTAGTCTGATGAAGGGTTATCAGACCCAGAGTTTGACTACTTATTGCATATTCCAACATAGCTTCCATGTCCATCAGCCCTGTGTGAACATAGACAATGCTCAGTTGCAAATACACATTTCTACTCCAACAAGCTCAAAAATTAATAATAATTTGATATAATTCCCTCTCTCAAGGATAATTTTTTTTATATAGATCCATATAGCCTAATAAAATCCAAGTTAAAGTCTATCCTTTGGAGCTTGCAGCAAAAAATCTTAGATGGACTGCAGTGCATTTTACACCAAGTGTATTTGAACAGTCACCTGGGAATACATGAACACAGCAACTCAAAAAGCAATAAGGCAAGGACCAGAATGTCTGCCAAGGGTAAAATCTAATAACAGGGGGGTCAGTAATACTCTGGAAAAAGTAAAATGGCTTGTCCCCGAGGCCAGACAGCAGTGAAAGCATCATACAGCACAGATTCAGTCTGAAATGTGCCAGTTCCAAATGAAATTTGTTTTACCTCTGATTCAATAAGTGAGGTGTAAGAGAACTCACTGAGGCTGCAGATGGAAGCATCACACTCGTTGCAGGAATGCTGCTATGGAGCTGGACAGAAGTCTGGGCCAAAATGACAGTGCAGCAGTTTTAAGCCTCTCAGGTACTGAAGAGT